GAAAGCAACGAACGATATGTATAAAAAATAAAACAAAGTAAACGTCATGATGAACAAGAAATATAATAGTTTTGTAATTAACTAAACGCAATGTATATAACTGTTGGTCAACAGAAAACGCGATCGTTAAAGAGAACGGGTGTATAGAAAATGTTTAACATGAAGCTATAGAAAACGAGACATTGTGGACTGCCTGTGCGAGGGTGTTGTGGACAAGCAGAGCCAAGCAGAGCCAAGCAAAGCCAAGTAGAGCCAAGCAGAGCCAAGCAGAGCCAAGCAGAGCCTATTTTTGTCATTTCCCGGTAAATATAAGGCCGCTGCAGATTTAGATGTATTGATTCCTACTCTATTTTTGATGCTCCACAAGATGGCAATGTCCATTTTGCTCTATCTGCGTGCGTCGCTCTCGGTAACATTAACCAATGATAGAGCAATACAAACCAAGACAAATTTCTATGGCAGTGTGTGTGCAAATGCTTCCCAAGGCTGCTATACATAAAAGAAGATCCCCCGGTCAATATGTAGAAGAGGGTAGTCCGTTACTTTCGAAACAATTTTCTTGTGCAAATGAATCTTTGAGGAGATATGATTACCATCTCCATCGACAATCCTGATTTGATAGTCCCGATAGCAGGGGAGGAAATGAAGTATATCAGGGAAATTATGGGGTAAAACAGGGGTTAATTTTCCAAAAATGACAACTGGGTCTTCCCTGACAATGTTTATATCATCAGATTTGTTCTCGTGTGATGAGAACGAATCTGATGATATTCTCCGTCGGATTCTCCAGCCGACAATCTTGATGTGTTTTCATAAGTCCCGATAGCAGGGGAGGGCATGAAGTAGATCAGGGAAATTACGGGGTAAAACAGGCTGAAATAAGCAAAATAGAGAGCAGAAATGTGTAAAACAAGCACAAAAAACGCTTAAAATCGGATAATGAAACTCTACGGACATCGCCGCCATCTTTCAAAGTCTACGGACCGACGCGCCAAATTTCGGAAAACTCTACGGGAACCAAACCCACCGTTCGGTAAAAATCTACGGGATTTCACATAATCCAGATCCCCTGTGGTAATCGTACAATGCGTCCTAACCAACAAACCAACCCAACCCAACCCAACCCAACCCAACCCAACCCAACCCAACCCAACCCAACCCAACCCAACCCAACCCAACCCAACCTAACCCAACCTAACCCAACCTAACCCAACCTAACCTAGCCTAACCTAACCCTGTGGGATTTATACACTACGATCTATACATTCCCTAGCCAGGGGGCTCTGCCCCCTGGACCCCCATGGTATTAAATGCGCCTAGCCTGGACCCCCGTAGTAATATACCACATACCTTTATAAAGCGAAAAACCGAACTTTTCTGCGCTTCCGTCTATGGTCAGAATTGCTTGGTTTCTAATCACTTTTTTCGGCATTTGGGGCACTTGTTGGGCTCAAATATCAGGCTTGTGATTGAGAATAATGTCTATTTGTCCTGTATATCCACAATATAGTTTTAAAAATAACCCGATGTCGACACAGCACTTGAAATGAAACCTTTTTCACCGGTGTTTCTGAGCGAATGGCGGTGGTCGACCTGTCAAATCTCCCGGTGAAAACGCGCATGCGCAAAAGGTTATTGTACAGAATAACGTAAATAATTGCCAAAAGACGCAAGAGAAGTATAATAAAACTAGAAGAATGCATTACATACATGAATTCAGAGAATCAGACGCTAGTAATGACAAAATAAGCGTTCTCACAAGCGCGTAGCAATACATGGACTACTTGCTGGATCGCAGTAATGAGTTACGCGTCACAATTGTTTTGATCTCGCAAGGTAAACATGGAAGGGGACTTAGAAAATGAAGGGTCGAGCTTCTCTCTTCTCTGTCGTATATCTCCCTTATTTTAGATTTGCGCAGTTGTTGCCATAGATGAAAAGTGTCTTACTTTTCGTCAAGGTATCCATTCCATACACTTATTTTACTGTACGATTGGTTGACATGCGCGGAAAGTTTTCCAAAACAGGACCCTCATGGTTGTTAGACAAAACGTCCTAACCCAACATCCAACCTAACCTAACACCGTGGTATATATTCCCTAGCCAGGGGCCTCTGTCTCCTGGACCCCCATGGTAATATATATGTAGCCCCCTGGACCCCCGTAGTAGACTATGCTTCTAGAATTTACCCTCGCAAAGTAAACAAGATGAGCGACTCAGCCAAAATTGGGGGTTCTTCTCTTTCCTTTTATGTATAGCACCCTTGGGAAGCATTTGCACACACATTGCCATAGAAGAAATTTTGTCTTGGTTTGTATTGTTCTATCATTTCGTGTGGGTTTTATTACCCAACTGCCACTACCTTATATTACATTGTCCGGACTTTTTGTCTAACAACCATGGGGCTCATGTTTTACTCCATAATTTCCCTGATATACTTCATGCCCTCCCCTGCTATAGGGACTATCAGATCAGGATTGTCGATGGAGATGGTGATCATATCTCCTCAACGATTCATTTGCACAAGGAACAATGCCTAGAATTGTTAAAAGCAGTGGATTTCATGTAGAAAAATATAAATTATTTCGAAAGTAACCCACTACCCTCGTTTACTTTTCCAAAAATGACAATCGGGTCTTCCCTGAAAATGTTTATATCAGATTTGTTCTCGTGTGATGAGAACGAATCTGATGATATTCTCCGTCGCATTCTCCAGCTGACAATCTTGATGTGATTTGATAAGTCCCGATAGCAGGGGAAGACATGAAGTATATCAGGGAATTTACGGGGTAAAACAGGCTGAAATAAGCAAAATAGAGAGCAGAAATTTGTAAACCAAGCACAGAAGACGCTTAAATTCGGCCAATGAAACTCTACGGACTGAAGCGCCAACTTTCGAGAGAAAAAACTACGGGAAACAAACACACTGTTCGGTGAAAATCTACGGGATTTCACATAATCCAGATCCCCTGTGGTAATCTTACAATGCGTCCTAACCAATAAACCAACTTAACCTAGCCTAACCCTGTGTGATTTATACACTACGATCTATGCATTCCCTAGCCAGGGGGCTCTGCCCCTTGGACCCTCGTAGTAATATATATATGCCTAGCCAGGGGGCTATGCCCCCAGGACCCCTGTGGCTTTACAAAAATACGATCTTTCTGCCATCCCTAGCACCAACGGATCCCCAGGGTTAAACCACATACCTTTGTAAAGCGAAAATACGAATTTTTGTGCACTTCCGTCTATGGTCAGAATTGCTTGGTTTCTAATCACTTTTTTCGGCATTTAGGGCACTTGTTGGGCTCAAGTATCAGGCTTGTGACAGAGTAATGTCTATTTGTCCTGTGCATCCACAATATAGCTTTAAAAATGATGCCGACGCAGCACTTTAAATGAAACCTTTTTCACCTGTGTTTCTGAGCGAATTGCGGTGGGTCGACCTGTCAAATCTCCCGCAGAAAACGCGCATGCGCAAACGGTTATTGTACAGAATAACGTAAATAATTACCAAAAGACGCAAGAGAAGTATGATAAAACTAGAATGCATTACATACATGAATTCAGATAATCAGACGCTAGTAATGACAAAAGCGTTCTCATAAGCGCGTAGCAATACAGTAATGAGTGTCTGGATCCTCGCGATGGAAACATGGAAGGGGATTTAGAAAATGAAGGGTCGATCATCTGTCTTCTGTCTTGTACCTCCCTTATTTTAGATTTACGCACCTTTTACCATAGATGAAGTGTGTTTTCGTCAAGGTATCCATTCCATACACTTATTTTACTGTACCCTCTTCTACATATTTACCGGGGGGGGATCTCTTTTCTTTTACGTATAGCACCCTTGGGAAGGATTTGCACACATATTGCCATAGAAGAACTGCCTTGGTTTGCACTGTTCTATCATTCCATGTAGGTTTTATTACCCAACTCTGCCACTACCTTTACTACATATTATTATTATTATTGCTGCTTCATATTACCTTCATTATTCCGGCAGCTTCCTTCCTTCCTTTACACACTTAGCGTTCAGCAAAGGTTAGACACACGACTTGGAGAGTGGAACCAAACCGGATGGCGAGTTTTCGGGAAGTGCGTCGCCTCGGCCATTCTTGTTGCTGTCCACGCAGACCGTAAAAGGAAGATTGGAAAACGAGGTGATTTGGTGGGAATGGTTGTTTCCCAGTGTGGTAGCGATTTTCTGCTAGTTTCAGATGGCGTAAGCGGTGTTTATTTTACTTTATTCGTCTATCTATTTAGTACTATTATCTTTTGTGTATGGGCGCGTGCGTGCGTGTACAGCTGTAATTGACGTGGTCTGTTCCAAATACCTCTGTTTCATCGATGTGCGAATCCATTTCAGCTATAACTGTAATATTAAAGATAAACCTATTATCTACGCCAGGGTTCTGTAAAGAACCCGGGCCACGGAGTTTGTTACATACTGATCGGTAGCCAGAGAGTTCAAAGGGTTAAGATCCACTGATCTACGAATTGTGTGCATTGAATGTAGGAAACTATGTTGAAAATAAATAATTCCATAATGCCACATGATACACAGCTTATTGCCCTTACCCCCCCCCCCTTTCTTTTTCTCTTTCCCCCTCTCTTTATTTACCTTTCTCTTTTTCCTTCCCACCCCATTCTCTCTCCTTCCCTTCCCCTTTTCTCTCAGTTTCCTTCCTTCCCCCTACTCTGCCTCTTTCTCTCCCCCCGCCCCCTTCTCTCTGCCATCCCCCTCCCTCCGCCTCCCTCTCTTTATCTATCTCTCTATTTATCTCTATCTCTCTGTTACCTTTCTTTTCTGTTAACAAGAAAAAAAATATTTCATGATCTAGTACACCTATCAGTAGTTAAATAGGTTTAATGGTAATAGTTATGCAATAGTCATGATCTTTTCATTATTGGTACATACATAATTATCATACATTGTGAATCATCACCACTGATACTATTTGTATTTTGGGTATATATATCAAACGACAGCCTTTATTGTAACTTTTATTATCACTCGCATTTTCAAGAATCCGTAAGTCATTTCTATTATAAAATTAAATATGCATATTCCAAGGGTATTCAGTTCTAGAAACTTGTACAATCAATGATCAACTCGTTCTAAAAAAACAACTGAGTAAAAACAGGGTATAAACAAAGTCAAATGATAATGAAGATTATATGAATAATAACATGGAAACTAGTGATCAAAGGGAACATGGGAATGGGACTTTACTTTTTTTTTTTTTTTTTGTTTAATATGAAAATATACGTATTTCTCCTCTTTCTGTACACCTGCACGTTACCGACTAAACATGTGTCATTTGCATACGCTTTACAGGTCTGCAGAGTTTTTCTCGGAAGAATTTCAGCAGCAGCATTAATGTGCGTGGTTTCTCCTGGCAAAGACCCGTGTTCAATTTGTGGTTCTTTTGGAGTTTAAACTTTGGGGTTGGACTTAAATCTAGACTACATTTTCATTTCCTCTTATACGTCGCTGAGATTATGAACTAAAACAAGTCAGCCTTGATGTAAGTTATACAAGGACCCCCCCCCCCCAATCCCACCTTCGCAGTTATTTAAGGATAAATGCCCAACACAAGTTTCATTAGAGACAGAAAGAATCGCGCCAAGTAAAGTCTCGTTTTGATAAACATAAAAGTTCAAATATTTTCTTTTTCTTTTTGACGATATACTGTCGGCGAATGAATAGCTTACGATATAAGTACTTTTCAGGGACCGCATTCCCAGCGTCTCCCCTTAAATTTCCAAAGA